TAAGTGGATGAACCTTAAAAAAAGCATTTTAAGTATTCAACATCTGTTATAAAACGATAAAAGAAGAAAAAGAGTATTGCAGAGAAAGTAGAGAGAGAATTCTCATTGATTTGGGATGAATTATAATGGAATAGAACCCCTCTATTTATAGGGGAAAAGTGACTTAACCACCAAGTAAGAAAGCCTAAAATCTCTCTAAAATATAGGCATTCACCTTAAATATAATTCTATTTATAACACTCCCCTTTGAATGTCTATTCGACAAATAATGTACCTCGTTATAACCTTAACCAAAATAAAACCTAGTGGGAAAAAAATTCTAGAGAAGGAAAAAGAGTACACATGTTTAGAAATATACCTTTTAGTTGCCTCGTTAAAAACCTTGCAAGAAAAACCCAGTGGGACAAAACCTTATAAGGGAAAAAGAGTACAACGTGTATTAACTCCCCCTGATGAGAGCATCAATTCACATCTTTAAACTTTCGCATCCCGATCTTGTACACTAGCTTCTTGAAGGCTGACATCGGTGGAGATTTGGTGAAATCCTCAGCCATATTAACTTGAATGAATACGTTGCACCTTCAAATCATCATTCTTGATAGATATGTAATATCTTTATAAAATGCCGTGGAATGGCCTTTTCAATATCTCCATAGAGGTAAAAATTTCTCTCTATCACATTAGCATGCTTATAGTTATAGCAAGATACATATAACAGAAATTGCACTTAGTATGTGGTACTTCATAACCAAGAATTATATATGCTTTAAGCGATTTAAATTTTTCAGGGATTATCATAAGTTAAGTCATATAAGCCATATAATTAGACTTTAGATGCATATCAAGGTTTCATGTCATTCTAGACATATAAGATAGATAAAGGTGATTGCACACACCATTGACTTTATACTTTCAAGTGTTTAAACTGCAGGTCCAAAACTATATGTCTTTCATATGAAACCAATTCTACTTAAATTGTTTCTCCAGACTTAAGATCCTCATATGTATTTGTGTTATCATAGATGTAATCGACGAACATTTTATATCGGTTCCAACCACCTTTTTTTTCATAAACACATAACATAGAGATCTCTTCATTCATATTTTCAGGTACTCGAACTTCTCCTGAGATTTTATGAAGTGTTATGTCATGTGATCTTCTAGACCACTTGCCTCCTTATTATGATCATTTTCTCATCTTCTCTACCAAGAATTTTATTTGAAACCGATTTGTCTATATGTTTTAAATGTACCATAGACTTATTATAATTGGAGCGTTTGTAGTGAGAATATAGTTACTTTCTTTGGGTCAGCAAATGTGCCTGGCATGCTTTGCAATATATTACAAATGAAATATCTTTTTATGAACTTCAAGTTCATATTATCTTATTTGAGGATCTAGATGTACAAATGATAATTCATTCCGTAACTTTTTCTCAACTGTTTATCATGTCTCTCCCTCATGTTAGAAAAACTAACTTGCTTTCTCAAATTTGGAAACCCACTTTTGTGTGTTATGGTGTTAATCAAAATATACACCGCACATCAATAATAATAATAAGATAGAATTATTTAGTTCTTGACCCTGAACTACTTGTGAGGGGAGAATGTAATATACTTTCGTATATAACATATATCAAACTGATATAGATAACTTTGTTCTCAGAAGCAATAGTTTAAATATTAAGTGGAGGCAAATCAAACTGATATAGATAACTTTGTTCTCAGAAGCAATAGTTTAAATATTAAGTGGAGGCAAATCAAACTGATATAGATAACTTTGTTCTCAGAAGCAATAGTTTAAATATTAAGTGGAGGCACTCAATAAATTATTTTGCTAAACCAACTATGAAGTAAATCAACTTATCAAGATGAACTATCTTGAATAAAAAAAATATGAAAATTATGCTCGAAATTAAATTATTGAGCAAGTTACCTCGCAAATATCAGGTTGCATGTTAATAATAATCGCACATGTAACCATCTCATAGATGCATCTTATGTGGTATACATGGCAGGTGAATGAGCTCATATTCACCTTTGATAATTTCAGCATTCATGGGATTCAATCCCAATTTTAGTTGGTCTATTAATTAATGAGAACAAGCAACATAAGAGAATTCGTAAATAACTAAACTTTCTAGTTCTTTAATATTTACCCATGTGTATTCTCTTTTATTTTTGCACGTCATACTTAAATTGATATGGCTAAGCTAATTATGTCAACTGGATAAATTATCAATATTTATAAACTTCAGGTTTACACCATGACGTGTGCAATTATCAATAAACTCCAAGTTTATTATGATGAGTTTTTATATATCAATAAACATCTACTTTATTGTGGCATTTTTTTATTTGCATAGTACAAACTGGAGAATAAATCAGGTAACTTTTCACATACATATTATCCCGCTACAAGTTGTAGTGTTAGAAGATATTTAATCTTTTCTTTATTTATAGTCTTAATATAACCAATTGCTTTCGTGAATATTTTAGAAACTTAATATGTTTTTTTGAGACTTACTACGACACAATACCTTATTGATAATCAATTTTATTTCTCCAAAATAGTATAATTGGCTCTTCCAGAGCTCTCAATCAATTTTGTACTATCACATATTCATCAACATCATATGGTCAATACTTTTTTCAAGGAGAAAGTTATACAATTATGGTCATGGTCAAAATTATTATAGGCAAGATATGTTGCTTCCATTACTTTTGCCATGTAATAATCACATTGCTATAATATTTTGGCATAATCACAATACGTGATCAATGACCATTCATGCTATAATAATGATATTTTTTCTTATTTCCTCTCAAACCTCCTTCTAGAGGTGAGTGTGGTATATTCACTACCACTAGCACGTTTATATTCTTTCAAGAGTGAATATGTATTCATAAATCACACATTGTCACACTCACACTATGAATGGACTATAATCATCTATATGTGCTTTATAAAATCTCATGTCAAATCGATGACAAACATTACTTTTACAGAGTGAAGGATTATTTTGAGAATTCTTATTATTCTCATTACCACAATGATGATGACGATTATAATTTTATCTATTGCCACGTCAACATCCATTGATACATTCACGGTAAAATTTTTGTCTTCTTTCAGACTTATTACATATTGCTACCATATTCTCTTAAGGGAACGAGAATGAAGCAAATTCAATGGGACGGGTTTTCACTTCTTGTGCTCATAATCATACATGAATTTGATCATGGCAAGACATAGAAATTTTACTACTTTGGGTGGTTATAATTTCTTACAAACTCTAAAAATTTCTTACAAACTCTATTAGCGTTAAAATCAAAATTTATTGTCTTTGTTTGTATTTAAAATCAAAATAGAATTTCAAGAATTTAAAAGAGAAAAATAAGGTAAAATACTTACTTTAAATCCATAATTTATTTACGAGGGAAGTTCATGGAACAAGTGACAATCATTATGTTTAAGTTGAACACCATGCACATATCCCAAAGCCTCTACTCGATTGGTTGGAGTCCCGCGTTGATAACGTGTTATAAAATAATAAAAGTAGAAGAAGAATATTGCAGATAAAGTAGAGAGAGAGAATTCTCATTGATTTGGGATGAATTACAATGGAATAGAACCCCTCTATTTATAGGGGAAAAGTGACTTAGCCACCAAGTAACAAATTCTAAAATCTCTCTAAAATATAGACATTCACATTAAATACAATTCTATTTATAACAACATCAATGCAAAGTACTATTAAATTGACCATAGTTGAATGCTAAACCTTTACGGGTTGTTTGGATGGTTGTTACTTTACTTTTAACATAATATTTATTTTGATTGTTACTTAAATTTTATGGTATTGTATCGTTAAATTCGTCGTTATCTAACAGCGAAAAGTGCCACTTTAACTTTATGGAACGATCGATTTGGTGCGGTCGCGTCGTTACCTTTTTTCCCTCATCTTGCTCTTACTTATTATTAAATAATCCTATTTTATCATTTACTATACCTTTTTATGTAATAATTCTACCTCATACTTTACTTCTTCTTTACAATATTGCAAGTTTATTCTTTATACTTTTAGTGCATGAAATCATGAAGTGACGGCAAACAATACAATCTATCCAAACATTTATATATCAAAACGATACAGTACAATAAAATACTATACAATACTATTCGATACATAACAACCATCCAAACAAGCTGTGTAAGTCAATGACATGTTATAAATTTTAATATGTTGGTTTGATCATAACAGAGCAACTTGAGAAGAACGTCTTCATCCTGCCAGGTCTATGTACTGTTTATTTATTTCACTTTGCTTCTGGAATAAAATATGTATCTTTATCCCAATTTGCAATGTTCTAAAAAGGCCTAGTACTCTTGAAATAAAAGAGCTTGATATTTTGAGATAACTCCAGAAAGCTGTCAAATCTATTTCAGAAATGGTTTAAGCTTCCAACTACTCACCAAGATTATCAAGATACTAGGATCGGAATTCGTATCACAACTTCCAAATCTCCATGATGATTTACTTGAAAATGTAATCTGAATAAAAAAAAACTAATTAGGCCAATAATTGGACCTGGACCTTCTCCAGTTTTTATTCCCCGTGCTTCAGCGCTTTCCACTTTGAGCTTAGTATAATTAGAACAAGATCCAGTCATGATTAAGCAGCATCAGCACGCTAGAAGAACCAAAATTGAAATTGTAAGAAATACCAGAATGTTTTGGATGTATTCGTTTCACACAATTTCTTGAAATTCAAATCTGGCTTGAAGTGCTTTTCCAGCCAAAAGAATTGGAAACAGACCAAATTTCTAAAATTATATAACAGCTATCCAAGTAGAAGGAAACCTTGGCACGTGTCATCGCTGAATCAGAAAGTCATAAGTTCAAGTCAAAAATAACCTCTTCCTGGAATGCATATAAGGTTGCTTATAATTGATCCTATGTGACATGTTCTTTTCCCTAATCCCAAGCACAGCGAGAACTCGCTGCCTTTTCATTTCTTGACGATACTAATAAGTAATAACAACTATGTAAATAGTTTTTTACCTATTTCTTCAAAACATTGCCAAAGCCAGGGCCTAATTCTTCGAAGAGCCCAAGATGGCCCACATATGGGAGGACATAAAGTAACAGTATCCCTACATTTGTATGGTGAAAAATGTTGCCACCAGTGCTTAAAATCATCTAACCTCTAATTTGGCTTTCTCTTCATTACTGTCTCGTAATTACTTTCAAGATCTACTTAGTAACCACCACATGATCAGTCCAGTTATATAATGTATAAATATAAACTCTTATTGCCCTAAAAATATTCAAAACGCAACTACTCCCCATCTCATTGCCTGGTTGTCTCATCACCTGCTTAGGTTCTGCTCTAGTCTTATTAACTACATTCTTGTCTGTATCTTCCTTCAAAAAGGCCACATAAGTTTGTAATATAACAAAAGACAGGAATCTTTGGTATATTACAGACAGCACAGATAGATTGCTGCTGCGTTGTCCATTTGACCAGAAATCTTGTCTCACTCTCTTTTAAAAAATAGGAATATTTCAACCCTAACATGCAGGTGAGCTAGCTTTCTAATTTTCCTCATCAGATTATCCAATTTGTCACGTTCACTTCAATCTTGGAAGCATCCCATTATGCTGACTTTGTTCATTTATATATACATCTACATTTAACAGGTCTTTCAAAGGCTATTCAAGACTGCAAATGAGACTACTACTTCTAGCCCTTCTATAAGCAAGAAAGAAACTGCAAATAGTAAGTGAAAAAGACCCTCTAATCCCTTCATTTTCTTCTATTTTTTGTGTCATTTTTGTGAATTTCCTTATGGATTTAACTTTTATTCACTGATAGTGTAATGAAATTTTTACAATATGAACACAGTTTAACCTGCTATAGTGGTTACTTGCTTTATATATTGTTTTGACATTACGTGAAATCATCTTTTGAATGATGTGACAGTGTAAAATTTTTATATATTGTCGGTGTATAGAAGTTAAAACTCTTGCTTATTTTTTTTTGGTTTTCAGATCAGAAGGTGAAATCAAAAGACATTGTTTTGTTTGGGATCTGTCGGGGGAGCACTAGAAGAAGAGGTGATAAAAGTAAATCAAGTAGCAAGACCTTCAATATATTCAAAGCATTATGCAGGAATAAGGATATTAGTCAGGAGTATTTTTATAGCACAATTCATCTAAGGAGGGTAGAAACTCAACATTTTGAATATTGCATGAACATGAAAAACAAGAGTGTTACACGAGGATTAAGCATCTCTCACAAGGCTACAGAATCAGTAGGACATACGCAGGTTTTGCCCATCACTGATTCTGCATCGTCGTCGTCGTCGTCATCCTCAAGAAACGATAAGGCGCGATGCTCTAATGGAGAAAAGAAAGACGAAAAATCCAAGGGAGATAAAGCCAAGACCATCTCTAAGATGAAAGAGCTACTAAGATGGGCTGCTGCTGCCAAATCTGAGAAGGGCCGCCAATACATAGGCAGAAAGGTGAACATTTGTTTCCTTTTTATTTTGTAAGAACTTTACCCTATGGAAAATTTCTTCCATGACTCAAAAATCAGACCAAAATATTCGTCCATACATAAATGAATGAGATTTATATACACCGATTTTTAAATTATTTGTGTATTTTGATTTGTTGTAAGTTGTAACATATATGTAACATGTCCTGCCTCAATTTCCAGGTATTCAACAACTTTCGGAATAGGGCAGCATTGAAGGCAGTACCAGATGATGATCAAATGAGTAATGAATCCCCCAAAATCAGCTTCAGATGGGAAGTTGAAAGTTGCTCCACAACTTCCTCTGCTTACTCTGCCATTTCAATGCCAACTTCCTTAACCAAGAATGATCAGTCCATCAATATCAACTTTCCTTCTGTAAAATCAACTCCTCTCCACATAGATCAGGGTCCTGCGGCTGCTGGAAAATTGAACTGGATCACCACAGATTCTGAATGTAAGTTTCCTTAACCCTTATAGCTTTTAATTAGACTTAACTTATTGTATATGCAGTAATGCAAAGGCGGATTTGAAAGTGGGCAGGGCCAACGAGCGTACTGCTCAACCAGTGCCCCATCTGATTTTAAATTATATATATGACTCATTTCAACATATATATATATATATATATATATAGAGAGAGAGAACCGCACAATTAGTATAGTTTAACCTATAATAGTAGGCTAGTTGTCATTTAATCGTTTAAACAATGAATGCGTAACATGGGGATTTACCTTAATTACTGTAATACTTTTTGTACTGTTAAATTTATCTTTTCTATTATTTGTGCTTCCATAAATCCATCAATCTGATTGACGCCTGTTTCTTTTCCCAACAGTTGTGGTGCTAGAGCTATGAAGACTGTAAGAACCAAAGGAGGCAGATCATCACTAAGTGCTCGTTTATGGCCTGCTCAGTAATTGATGAGTAGAGATTTGATCCTATCAGATGTAATGTAACATTAAATCAATGATGTGAAGTTTAGTTTTTCTATTGATCTTCTAACCAATGTTCTATTCTTTAATATTCCAATTCCAATATTATAAAATACATAGAATTATGATACATTAGAAGCATTTATTTGAAGAGGAATTTAATGGTCGTTAGATCGTTAAACCGTCACTTATATGCAGTCGTCATGAGAGATTTTGAGAAAAATCCAGCACCAATTGTCTGCATCTCGTTTCTAAGATAGCGTTAAGTATCAGTTATTTTGCAAAAATTGAGTTTAGAACACACAAAATATTTTGAAAAAAAAAAATACTTGTTCGATGGAATTTTTTGCAAAAACATTTATCATAATAACTTTTTGGAAGTGTCTAGACCCAAATGGGGATCCAACAGTCAGTGACGAACCTCACTCTGTCCCATCCATTGAGAATGCATTTTCAGACGTCGGAAACACCTGTATATTGGTCGCGATGGATGATGTGTCTAAATGGGTTGAAACTATTACTTTACCCAATAATGAAGCAAAGTGTGGTGGCTTTCTTGAAAAGGAACATTTTCACAAGGTTTTGGGACTCCGCAGGCAATCATAAGTGATGGAGGGTCGCATTTTTGCAATAAGGTTTTTGACACTTTACTTGGCAAGTATGGTGTCACCCACGAAGTGACAACTCCCTATCATCCACAAGTAAGTAGTCAAGTAGAAGTTTCCAACTGTGAGATAAAGAGTATTTTGTCCAAGACGGTGAATGCAAATCACATGGATTGGTCTAAGAAACTTGATGATGCTCTATGGGCATATAGTACGGCTTATAAAATACCTATCGGAATGTCTCCATATCAGTTGGTGTTCGGAAAAGCTTGTCATCTTTTGGTGGAATTAGAGTACAAAGCAATATAGGCTTTGAAGAAATTGAATCTTGATTGGAATGTAGCCGCTAACTTGCGGGTTGTACATTTGAATGAATTGGATGAATTCCGGTACCATGCAATGAGAGTTCGTCATTGTACAAAGAAAAGATAAAATACCTTCATGACAAGTATATTTGGAATAAGGAGTTCAAGACCGATGATCTAGTGGTGTTGTTCAACTCAAGATAGAGAATGTTTCCCGGGAAGCTCAAGTCAAAATGGAGTGGTGCATTTGAAATTGTTGGTTTGACACTCTTTGGTTCTTTAGACTTGAAAAACAAGAACAATAAAATATTTCGGGTTAATGGTCATCGAGTGAAGCATTACTTGGGAAAAGTTTGTGAGAGCCATGTGGTGGCGGCTCTTTACTCCAATTAAGGATGCTATGATATTGTGTTGTGCCACAACATTAAATAAGGCACTTCTTGGGAGGCAACCCAAGTTCTTTTCCTTTCTTCTCTTTTTAGTTAGATATTATTTCTTGTTTTTAACTAGATTTGAAGTGTGCGAAGTGATCAGTATTAGATATTGAGATGATGGCTAAAGTTGTGCCCTGCTTGGGAAATCCGGACCTTACTTTTATTAGCGCGGCCGCAGAAGAGGGAATACAGACCGCGAAAAATTTCTCGTGGTCATAGATTTTACCTGTGGACCGCATTTGCAAGAAGCTGCTCAGGTGCTAAATTGCAGGTCCTCTATATTTTTCTCCCAACAGTGCGGAGCTAACTTTGGGGACTACCATAAATTTTGCAATTGCAGGAGAGAAATCTCAGAGAAGTCACTGAAACTAGGTTGGCAGAAGTGCGGTCGCACTTGAAAAAGTGCAGACCGCACAACTACATGCTCTCCACCGCCCAGGTAACAGCATGCAGACCGCACTTGGAATTCTGCGACCGCACTCACCCTCTTTCACCCTAACCCTCGTGTGAGTATAAATAGAACAGTAGTCTCCTATTTACCCTAACTAAGACTCTACGAAAGAACTAGTTTCTTGCACTTTTGATCCCCAACATCCACCCACACCCCATTTGATCTTTTTACACTAGAACAATATGGTATGCATCACTTCAATCTTGTTATTTTTATTTTTGAATTTATTTTTTGCTTTTTAACTTCTTTTTAGGCCATCTGTGATTACATCCTTTATTTGTGTCTATGTGGGGTAGTTTAACATTGGGTATTTGTGAAATCATGCTTAGATAGGGTTGGGTGTTCGATTATCATTCCTCTACGATGTTACCTAGAAGGATTAAGCACATAATTGCCTAACCTAGGTAGAAATGACTCCCATCCGTCACTATCCTCGATTGTGTGGACCGCACTTAAAATTGTGTGGTCCGCAAATATCTGATTTTAGTAACTTAGTTGATGACCTTGAATGTGCAGCCACATTTTATTTGTGCATACCGCACTTGAAATTTTGCAGCCACAAAGAGAGGTACGCACTATCCTTCAGACCTGAGTACTTTTACTCAAATGCGGACCGCAAAATCTATTATGCAGACCGTAGTTGAATTTCTGGTCGTAGATGCAACTCCAAACTATCCTTCAAATACTTCTCTTTGAGGACTTGAAACATCTGTGTAGGAGTGCAGCCGCACTTGGAATTGTGTGGACCGCACTTCCTCTTTACGGACCGCACTTGAACCCTATCCACTGCATGTTACAAACTGGAAACCCTACTGCTTCTATGGTGTCCTCTAACACTAACATGACTCTTAACTGCTTTACAACTTGTATATCAACTGACAATTCTTTTTGTGCATACACATATAATTGTGTGATCAAGAGGAAAAAGAGAGCCATCCAAAGAAAGGGGTGGCGAAGGGAAAGATATAGGCAGAGGTGACATGCACCCAAGTGCACAAAAGGCAATATCCAAGAAAATAACTGCAGGTCGGGGAGAGCTAGAAGCCTCTCAGAGTCAGATTCTTATGTCTCGTCTAGGGAAGCCTCTGATCTCTACCTGAAGAGCACAATGAGGAGTAGTCTAGGCTACAGAGGCAGTCTGAGCCCCAAGATATGCCCTCACATCTCAGAGCACCTCCCAGAGCACATCTAACACCAGTCATGAATCATATGCAGTTGCTCAAGACTATGATTCTAATGATGCCCCTAATGACGGAAAAGAGGGAACGATTGCAAAAGATGGCGTAGTGAGAACAAAGAAGAAGGTGGTCCTGGAAGATTGATTTTTGAGCCTAAATGCTTATTCAGACTTCCAAATATGGTGGAAGGAAAGATCCCTTACTCACTATTGACTTTTGCATTGTCTTAGTTCTGAGTACTCAGCCCATTTCTATTCCACCATATTGTATGGACCTAGATGAGTTGAAATAATTGAAGGAGAAGTTGCAGCATTTGCTTGACAAGGGATTCATTACACCTAGTGTCTCGTCTTGGGGTGCATCAGTGTTGTTTGTGAAGAAAAAGGACGGATCAATGAGGATGTGCATAGATTATCGATAGTTGAATAAGGTCACTATCAAGAACAAGTATTCGCTGCCGAGGATTGATAACTTATTTGACCAGCTTCAGGGTGCCAAGGTATTTTCCAAGATTGATTTGAGTTCGGGCTACCATCAAGTGAATATTAGGGCATTGAATGTTCCTAAGACAGCTTATTAGGGTGATTAGTGTATATGCGCAGGCCATGGGATAAGTATGTGGGGGGAATTTGCCTTACATGTACCTTGTTAACTCGCTTATTATGTCTTCCATGCATTAGATAGATAATAATTATTTGCTTACTCAATTTTAAGTTACTTTTTATACTGAGATTGTTGCGATATTGGATGTTGAAAACAGGGAAATTGTTGATCGGTTGTTAACTCAAATTGTGGAAAGATTTTCATATGACAAGTGGAGTTCAATACTATTGTTGAAGTTGAATTTGCTTCCCACCTTACTTGGTATTGTGTTGTTGTGATTGCTTGGTGAGGAAGAGTGAAAAGCATGAAAGGTGTTTTCATGCCTTGTTTGCATACTAATATCTTTGCTTGAGTGAACGTGAGGCTAGAAAACGAAGGGTGATGTCATGCACTTGCTTGCTTTAATATCATTATCATATGAGGATGAGAGTAAAAACATAAAGGGTGATGCCATGCACATGCTTATTTATATTACATGGTGATGATGAGAGTAAAGCATGAAAAGTGATGTCTTGCACTTGCATTATGATATATGGTGAGGATGAGAGTAAAATCACGAAGGGTGATCCCGTGCGGATTGTTGACTTTATTGCTTTGACTTGATATCTAAAATGTGGACATGACTTGAAGGTTTCAGTGCTTATTTTGAGAGAGATTTACTTGGTGATTCTTACTTATTGTTTTCGCATGTTGCCCCGTTTTACATGACTTTATTGCCCCTTTTTACATGTCCCTACCCTGTTTCATATATATATAAATGGAGAGGTTTTTAGTACTGACGGAGTCCCGAGAGGTACTTAGCGGACCAGAGAGTGATTCAAGGTAGAGTTTCATCCCGTCCATAGGCCTTAGGGTCACTTTCCTATTTTCATTGTACTGTTTCCATTTTATTTCGGACAGTGTTGTATTTCTTTCAAAACCTTATTTTTAGTTAGATTTAGAAGCTCGTGTGCTTGTGACGCTAAATCTTGGGATAGTATACGTTAGTTATTGTCTTTAACAACTAAACCATATAGGAAGTATATAACATGAATCAAAAGATGAGCCCAAGGGTCAAAATAAAATCACATATATTCTCAAGGCACATAATCACAAGAATTACGAGGCAAGTACTAGGCAAAAATGCTCCAGGTCTAAGCCCCGATATAAAATATGTCACGAGGCACAATACTCAAGCTCTTCACATTCCATTATCAGTTCAAAACAAACAAAGGGAAAAAAATCTTTCTGTATTTTTTTCTTTGGACTTTTAGCCCTCAAGAAAACTGTCTAGGCATTCCATCACAAATTTTTACAAATATTAAGAAACAAAACTACCTAAGAATACCTGGTTCAAGAAAATGGCATCCTCGGGAAAGAATCATGATTTAAAGAAAATTTGGGATTATGCCAATAAAAAGTTAACTGCAATTATACAATTACAATGGCTATAAGTGTGATCATAATAAAATGTATCACTAGTAGTTAAACACATGCCACAAAAATCAAATTCTGACACCCTCACCCCATACTTTAGAGAGTGCATTGTCCCTAGTTTCTTAAATTATCACAAAAAC